GGCACAAACAGCAGATCATAAATTAAGGCTGAGTGGATCGCTGAAAGATGAGTGTTAGAGCGGAGTCGTATGAAAAGATGAGTGGAGGAATGTGTTAAAAGAAGACAGAGATGTTTCACTTCATGAGCCTTCAGAGAATAAAGCTGCATCTGGCAGGTAAATTAAATCAACCCACTGAAAGTCTCAAGGACTGGTTGCTGCTGTCTGTCTACTTAGAAGTTAAATCTGTCTTATTCAAAGTGATTTTACAGTACATTGCAGAAAAAACTCAATTCAAAAAGGAATTAAGAATGCACTTTATTTGAAATACCAGTATTCTCCTGTAAAAAGTTCAAAGGCTACTACTGTGACTACAGCATCAGAGAGGAAAATGCAAATGAAAAATAAGCAGTGTTACCAGATAGAGTTGAGGTTTTCCAGCCCAAACATCTCCTAAAAACCAACACATCACACAACAACCCGCCCAATTAATATATGTGAACACAAACACACTTCAGTACAACTCAATTCAACATTACATGTCAAAACTCTACAATCCAACTAAATCTGCCCACCCAGCCAGCACTGCAATGTCAGATCCAGTGAGTGTCATGTGGCACATCACATACCGGTACTAACATGTTTGCAGATGGATTTATAACCACATAGACTAGTCTTCTTTTTACATTTAGAAGACACACTAGGATCAGTGCGCACACACAAATATGCTAAGCTTATTTTTACATAGCTGAAATAATTACATTTATTATGGTTGATTTTAAATTCTTACCTTTAATGCTTATTATATTGTTGGCTGGAACATTTAACATCTGAACGCTAAACTTTTATTCCAGTGAAATATAATACAATCCATTGTGATTTGTGATCAGTACATGGTTGAATGAAATACTTAAACAGACAAGCTCTAAATTCATCAAGTCTAAGATATAAAAGAGGGCGCATGAATCCATGTAAAAGCTGAGCATGGTGTAGGTGAAAAACAAGGTGTCCCTTTCCGGAACTAAAACTGGTAGTTGTTTCCACAGGAGATAAGCCTGATAAATAAAAGTTATCCTAAAACTTTTAGAAATTCTAGGAGATCGAGAGCGCAGTGCTCTGTTAGGAACATCAGAAACTAGCATATATCTGATATAAGATGGAGCTTGGCCATTTAAGAGTTTATATCAGCTGATTAGTCCAGTGCCAGTTATAGATACAATTATTCTGAACATTTAACCCTGAGTTTCCTTCATCCAAGATATTTAAATAAAAATAAAAAAAACCTTTCGTGTGTGTTACTTTGTATTGTTAAACCAAGTTTTTACTCTAATTTTGTATTAATTTGTGATTATTGTTAATTCCTGATAAGGTCATTATAGGGGAAAAATTTAATAGTCATGCAAATATGATGGCCTAAATGCAGTTTTTAATGCTATCTTTTTCCCAATTGCATTGAATTTCTAAAAGTAGAATGGGAGGCAGATCATTTAGTTATCAGTTAGTTAACAGTTTTAGTCTGTGAAGTAGAAACCCTGTCTACTTTTAAGGCTAGGCTTAGAAATATCCCTTTTGATAAAGCTTATAGTAAGTATGGCTAAGGTCATCCTGAGCCAACACTGTATACAGTGGTCCTTCAGTGACAGACTGCTGCACCCTATGCACCAGGGAGCATTATCACACATTCTTCCTCCCAGCAGCTATAATATTTTATAACCATCACTCTTCCCAACAGCCTAAATAAGTTGTTACATTCATGCTTGTTTTGGACAGTTTTTATTTTAGTCAATTAAATAACACACTGCTATCATTTTGCACATCTCTGATATTGCTGCTATTTTAAAATATCCATTACTGTAAAAATGTCCACAGCTGTATATTGGTTATTTATTCTTGAGGTGCATAGTATTTATATTGTTAAAAAAAACACATTACAGTACAGTATTTTATTTGTTTATTTTTTAACTCTTCACTATTATGTTATTCTTATTTCTAAGGTCCAAATTTGTGTGACCAT